CACTCCCACCCATGTCTCCACCTTATTTATATTTTCAAACTGCTTCTTTCCTGAAACACTCCCACCCATGTCTCCACCTTATTTATATTTTCAAATTGCTTCTTTCCTGATACCCAAGAGCAAAATCTACCTTGATCCAAGTCCAAGTCAGAAGTTCCTGGGAGACATCATGGTCTGGCCCAGTACCATATCAGACCCATGATTCAGCATCGGATTCAGATTTTGACATTGAAAATGAAACACATTACATTCAATGAGCCTAAACTGCTCCAAACCATCATAGAAAGCCCCAAGTTAAAAATGGAAAAATATTACGGATGCTAGGGTCTTTCACATTATTGTCATAACAAATGAGCAATCTCTCAGTCTAAATATGGCTATTTTTAGGAGATTCCCCATCTAAAATGGACTTTCATGCAAACAATCCAATAGAGCTTGACAACTTTTATAAATTATGGATGACTCGTTAAACAAATTAGGCTTCTCACATTGAGATATTTGAAAGTTATGGTAATAATTAACATTTCAGGTCACAGAGAAGAAAAGTCATACATCTAAGTGGAATAAGATACATTTCTTACATAGCATCAGGTAAAAGAAAGAAGAAAGAAAGAGAAAGAGAGAGAGAGAGATGCAGGGAAAGAGTGAGGAAGGGAGAGAGGAAGGAAGGAAGGAAATGTTTACCATCACATAAGCTAAATGTATAGAACTTTTTTAAAATAAAGTAATTGAAAATAAAACGCTCAGGATGCTAAACTTGACAAGTAAAACCTCAGTTACTTTTAATTTTTTGTTTGTTTTTTAGAGCAGGGGGAGGGGCAGAGGGAGAGAGAGAATCCTAAGCAGGCTCCATGCCTGGTGTGGAGCCCAAGGCGGGGCTGGGTCTCACAACCCTGAGACCATGACCTGAGCTGAAATCAAGAGTCAGACGCTTTAACCACCCAGGTGCCCCCAAACTCAGTTACTTTTATTTTTTTTTTAATTTTTATTTTTTTAATTTTTTTTATCAGTTACTTTTAAAACAAATTCTTAACTATGGACCTTACAGCATATGCAATTTACTTTCTTCATTATTATGTGCAAGTGTCTATCCTCTTCCTTTTATCCACTTTTTATAGATCATGTATTAAATACAAACTGTCTAATGAGTCTAATGAAAAATAGTATCCTTGAATACATCAGTTATGATCCAAGGATACTGGATGGTTGAATGGAATATAAAGTGGATCTGTGAGAGGCAACTTTTTACCAAAAGTAAACTGGATAGACTTATGAAAGTTACAATATAGATAACTTAAAGCAAATAACTATCTTTGCAGTAGGCAACCAACAAATATGGCAGAATTTAGAAAGACTATGTCTGCTTTGTGCTTTTACATGATGACTCTTATATTTCTGAGATCCTAGCCTATTTAGTTTGAAAGCTGAAATTAAATAGGGCGCATCTGTTAGGGAGAACCAAAGCATCACCTGCATCCCTGGAAATGAATGCCCACATGAAGTGCAGCACATGGACTATGAGGGAGGGTCTGTAAGAAAAAGGCTTTTCTTGGAGTATTGGCATAAGTAATAGTCCTTATGGCTGGCATAAGAATGAAAGGTTTTTCGAACAGAGATTGTTCCCTGAATGACCCAGTACAGAGACTTTAGTAAAGCACTTGAAGCCAGAGAAGTCCAACTCTGATAACAAGCCCCATTTCAGACAGTGGTAGGGCTCCCGGCTAACAATGGACTTTGTACCCAGCCTTTCCAGACGTTTTTATCAGTTAATTAAAAATAATACAAAGAAAGTACACTTTGTGATAAGCTAACAAAGAAACTCAAGAATAATCTCTTTCACTAACTGGCCTTCAAGGTACTATTAGCAGTCTCCTCCAGTGAGGTCAATGTCCCTGCTCTCTCTCCTGCAGCCAGTGTTCCCGTGACTAAGTTCCCGAGCACCTTGTGAAAACGCAGATTCTGATTCTGGGATGCGGGAGGTCTGGGGAGGGGCCCGCAACTCTATCTCTACCAAGCTCTGCATTCAGGTCTGTGTTGTTGATCTACGGAGCACACTCTGGGAAGCAGGGCATCCGGGATGCATCTCTCTGCCCTGTCCCACCTATGCCCCTGCTGCCTTCAGGTTTCAGCCTACCCATCCGTTCCTCTGAGCAGACTTTCCAAAGCCTCACATACTACCCGGACATTCCATACGTAGCCATAATCACACTGTATTACAATGATCTCTTTACTTGTCTGAGTCTTTTGTGCCTTTGTGACCCAGCTTCTAAGAGAATGTCTAGCACATAGTAGGATATCAGTACATATTTGTTTAATCGATGAATGATTTATTCTTATAGTGTACAATTCAAAATTGAACCTCAGTGGCAGTATAAATTAAACCTACAGGTAATGAGCTGTCAAACTCTGGATGTTACATCAGAATTGTCAAGGGTCTGCTAAAACAAAGGAGGGCGGGATGGAAGCCTTCTCATCGGTATTATCATCTCAAGTACCACACCACTGCAGCACAAAATATGGTCCATTCCATGCACTTGTTTCATAGCAATGACCCGAAAACTCGGAAATGCAGAAGCTCAGGCCCCACCCCAAGGCTACTAATCAAGCTTGACGTTTTAATAAGATCCCCAAGTGGTTCACCTGGTAAAGGTACGTGAAATCCACAAGTGAGTAAGCCTAATCAGTCCAACTCCTTGTTTGGGTTTAAACTTCCAATGCACATATGGAAGACCTCTGTGCTGCCTTCCTGGGATAGAGCCGGATTGACCCCAAAGTCACTGAAGACAGCTAGTAGAAACTGAAGTCATCTGGGGGTGGAATCAAGCAAAAAAAATAAATAAAATAGAGAAAGAAAAAACTGAATAGCACTTTATAGATGTTTGGAGAGAAACTACATACTAACTGATGATCAAAATCTTATTTTATAAAACAGACACTGTTCCTTAACATCAAATGCTATTGTTTCCAAAGAAACAAAGTACTGCAAAAGTATTGCCTTATCTTCCACTCAAGTACTGAAGCACCAAAACAGGCTTGGTCTTTACTTTCTGCATAATTAAACCTGATGTGAATTAGCAAATAATGGATATTAAAACTCACTCTCTTCTTACCAAATTTCTAAAGGAGTGTCTTTCTTGAAGGGTTCTAAAAATTATCAAATAGAATAACTTAACATTCCCTCCTCTAATATTAATCACTGGGAAAAACTGCAGTCTGTTGAGTAGCAAGTTGTAAGTAGCTAAAATAATATATAGATTTTTTAAAAAATCTACAAAATCAATAACTTTTCAACAGATTCTTACGAAATGACTGGAAGAAAACATAATAACAAGCATGAATTTAAACTGAAAAGTCAGGTCGTTATGCCAGAGTTCTTTTTTTTTGTCTTTTTTGCAGGATGTTAATAAGAATTTAAAAATTCATTATTATGTAGGTCATTCTTAAAATCTACTTCAGTGGAATTTTAAGGAACAAAATGTCTTGAGTCTGGATTCAATCATAATAAGAGAATATTCAACAATAACTATAACTAAATTCAATATCCAGCAGTTCTCACTCAGACAAGTTCTTCATACTTCATCTTCTCTTCATTTGTCACAAACCATTAAAATACCTTCATCCCTTTAATAAAGTGAATCATAATACAGTAATTATATGAATCATCCTTTGATTTGAAGAATTCCAACAACTACTGATAGTTTGACAGTGGAATGAATATACTTTGAAATGAAAAGATGGTTTATTTAACTTCTTTCTCCCTAATTCAAACAAGATTTTGACATTGTGATCCAGAATGACTTCATCTAAAACCTACAGAGAAAAAGACCATAACTGAATTGTGCCAAATTTCCTCAAGAGTGTAGCATATGGATAGGGATTTCTGGGATCACAACAGATTTGGCTACCCAGCTTTTTTATATGTTTATGGCATTAAAAGTAGATTTTCTCCAAATGAATAATATCTAATCAATGAATATTTAGTGAACAGTACCAAGTGTAGCGCGAGGATAAATAATAGAGTCCTGGACCTAATTTTACATAGCACATAATTTCTAAGTCAGCAATTAAAAAAGGGGGAAAAAAAGAACAATATACATATAGCTTAATAGTCAGTTCAGAATGTCCAGAAGATGGTTCCATTTATGGCCAGAGAAAACCCAGAAATATATATTTTTTAATCCTTAACTTTGCACATTTTCATCGCTTTGGCATGACCCAAGGCCAGATGAAGGACTGCTAATTCCATTTTTCCTTAAATACTAAGATGATGCTATTGGGTGGCATATGCTTGGAACCATTTCTCAAATAGTAATGAGGTATTGCAGTGGTCCATTTCAACTTCCTTAAACAGACAGATCAGTCTGTGCTGTGGAATTGAGCTACCTGATGTCAAGGAATAGTTGGAAGTTGAGGTGCAGAGGGCAGCAGTAAACTTGACTCTTACCCTGTCTGCCCAATAAACCAATCTAATTTACTTCCCCTCCATACAGAAACATACCAGTTCCTCAATGAGTAGGAACCCAGAAATTAGAACCTTATCTCCAAACTGTGTTTTTCATTTTCTATGTGCTAAGCCACTACTTTAATGAGGATCAAGATCTAAAGACAAAAATGCAGCCCCCAGAAGAATATCTGGCTCTCTAGAGTGCGTAAAAAGAAAAAAAATCTTCTAATAGGGTCAGAAGAGTTGAAAAGAGAGAGTTTCCTGGCCTCTGTTCATAAAGGCAGTTGCCCTAACATGCCTTCATGTTTATTTCAAATCCCACTGCTGAAACCTTTAATGTTAAGTTAGCATTATGGGCAGCATTCCAGACAAATGAGATTTATACAGATGAATAAATTGGCATATGTGATTGCTGTATTCATCTAAATAATTCAATATTTTTATGAGAATTATAAGTCACCACTTAGAAACTACAGGTTCTAAAGATTGATTAATTGACCCTAAAATACATTTTTAGGAAACAGACTGTATTCTTCTAAAGCAATTATGTGACATTTATTATTCCATAATCATAGCAAAATTTTTAAATGTTAAGGAAACATTTCAAGGCAAATTTAGAATTTAATTTTATACAGAAACAATTTTGGGAGAAGTAAGAAGGCTTGAAAATGACTATTTTCAATTTCTTTAGTTAAAATACCATTTTCCCTATGCGGATCATGCCTAATAAATTTTTACTTACCTATGTTCCTACAGTAAAACATATTTGTACTTAATAATGCTGATGGTTTCCTACATTTACAATTAAAGATTTATCAAATATTTCTTGATTTAGTAGCAACATAAAACAAAAACAAACATTTATCTTGCCTGAGATGATTAAATAATATGTGAAACTGTCTTTGATTATCTAAAGAATAATGTATTTGAGGGACCTTTAAAAGGAATGGATGTGCAAATAGTCTCTAAGGTGGCCCCATCATCTCCCCTTATGGTCATTGTGTTCTTGTGTAGACTCCACTGGACTTGCTTCCAACAAACAGAATAGAACAAAGAAGGATGTAATTTCATGATGACATGACCTACAATTATAAATCTGTCTTGCTGAGAATCCTTCCCTTTGTGGCTTTAAAGAAGTAAACTGCCCCACAGAGGGTCACATGGCAGAGAACCAATGGGCAGGCGACCAGCAAGTGTCTGAAGTTCTTGGTTCCACAGTCTGCAAGGCACATATTCTGCCAACCCATGGGCTTTATCTGATCTTTTCAGATAAAGAGTAGAGTCGAGTCTCAGATGAGGCCCCAGCCTGGACCACACCTTGACTGTGCGTTTGCTGAGGACATATCTAAGCCATGTCCGGACTTCTGGCTCACAGATGTTGTGAGATAATAAACAAGCATTGCTTTAAATCTCTAAGTTTGTAGTAATTTGTTACACAGCAATAGATAACTGATACAACAGAATTCTCTACTTTTTTTTTTTTTTTCCTTTTTGCAAAGCAAAGGAAATAAACTCAGGCTGCTTCACTTCGATCTACACTTTGAAAAGAAATCTAATACATGATTTCATTTTCATGATTTTGGAAATCTAATACATGCCCATGAAAAAAATGGCAACCACTCCATTGAATAAAAAGCCTAGTAAGTCCTTCAGAAAACTAGTTGGTGCTTTCATTACAATTGCTCACCTCTTCATAGTCTACCTAATGGTTAGATGATGTTACTTGCTAATGATTGGACCATACCCAGTTTTCTTTTGTGATTTCTGTGAATATTAGCCTCTAATGCTTCCCAAAATATATCAGATAAATTGAATGTGCAAATTTGTGCAAGCACTGTTTACAATATTCCGAAATTATGCCTAAGGTGCAGGAGAAAAGAGGTGATATTGTTTTTTGTTTTTTTTGTTTTTTTTTTTTTTTAAAGATTTTATTTATTTATTTGAGAGAGAGAGAATGAGAGAGAGAGAAAGCACATGAGATGGGGGAGGGTCAGAGGGAGAAGAAGACTCCCTGACAAGCAGGGAGCCTGATGCGGGACTCGATCCAGGGACTCCAAGATCATGACCTGAGTTGAAGGCAGTCGCTTAACCAACTGAGCCACCCAGGCGCCCCAAAGAGGTGATATTGTTACACGTGCATGAAACTGTAACTACTTTCTCCTAAAGAACAGTAGAAACTTGGTGGCTACCAGAAAATCAGGGTAATCGCCCACTTGAAAATGCTTCATGTTATAAATGCACAGTAAATAATTCAATTTCAAGAGGACTCACTATGGTTTCTTAATTTTTAAAAAAAATTAAAATATGAGGATGAGGATTTCACCTCATCCCAAATAATGCAGTCTTTAAAATTGCTTCTCTCAAAAATTTCAGCAGATATATTTTAATTGAACAGTTACATTAATTTCCATTTTATCTGCCACATATGGATACACAGTGAAACATATTAGTAAAAAATCCAGGGAAAGAAGTAAGAAGCTGTTCTATCCTGAATTCCCAGAGGAGTGTGCTATATCCCTCCACGGCACTCACGTATGTGGTGTCAAACTGTGTCTTTTCAGGTATATTTTACACAACCTGCTCACAGGCATTGTATCTTTTCAAACATCTCCTAACTCCTCAGATGATGAACTGTGCACAAGAGTCAATGCATGAATATTTGCTGCTAAATGAATTAAATGAACTGGCAGGGGAAAATGTCATAATAAAAGCTTCAAGAAACTACTTACCAGCATTACTAACCAGAGAGGGAAAGAATTCAATAAAATATATGAGGCCACATCAGTTGTGTAGTTTTTGGGTTTTTTTTCAATTTTCACTAGTTTTATTCAGTGGAACCTCTCACACAATGGAGAATCATTCAACAATTACTGATCAACACTTAGTTTATTGCTGCCTAACAAACCACTCAAAAATGTAGTTTAAAACAACAACCTTTTTATTACAGTCTAAGAGTCTGTGGATCAGGAAGCTAAACTACATAAAGGGGGTAGCTTTTCTCTCCTTTAAAGAGTCTGGTGCTTTGAGAAGATCTGAGGGGCTCAGGGTGACCTAAATGGCTGGCATCTGACTCATCTGGAGGTTCCACCCCCATGTCTGAACCTGGCCTGGAACAACTCGAAGTCTGGGTTCAACTGAAACCGTCTACAAGAAAGCCTACCCTAGCCTCTCTCTGTGCCTTGGGCTTCCTTACAGTAGGGTGGTCTTGGGTTACTTAAACGTCTTATGTGACTGCTCAAACCTTCCAGAATACACGTCCCAGCAAACAGGGCTAAAAATGCATGTCCATCTATCAGCTCCCATGGAAGTCCCAGAGCATTACCTATGCCCCAGTCTTTTCTATGAAGCAGTCACAACCATGCC